CCGACGTTTCCGCGCGCCTACGTGGAATATTATTTTACAGCGTGCGATACGAGTGTCTACAGTAACAAAATATAAATTCGCTTACGTATTAGGGTAGTATTAACATACCATGCACACACGTGGTCTCTCTCGTTCGCACCGTTAATCGTAGGAGTTAATTAATATAATAAAGTCCTTACACGGCTAGACGGTATTAAATTACAAAAAATTACAACCTCGCACGTAGTCTTTTCATGAAAACCGTGACGCGTGAGCTGCGTTCTCTCTCACACACGCACTCTCTCTTGCTCTCTTACTCTTTGTCGCGCATTCATTCACTCGGTCTCTCACTCATTCGAATTTCACTGGGCGTTCAATCGACCGACAGATGCCGAAACAATGATCCACGATGGATCATCGTTCCAGGACTCGGTTGGTTAACCGTCGATTAACACGCGCCATTTTTTTCGTAAGTGTAAATACACGACCGGAACGCGAGCATCCGAGACATCGCGGTCGCGAAACGTCTCGTTCCGCGAGAAACCGCCGCGATTCCCTGTATACACGCTATCGGTACAACACCTTCGTCTCGGGAATAATAAATAATTAGATTCGACGGTTGGAGCAACGGTCCCCGTTGTTGGGCACACCGGGGACGTTGATAAATTTTATTTTATATTCTACGCTGGTAGAACGTCGCCGCTCGTCGCCGTCACTGACCCTCGCTATCACTGTCGCTTTTGTCTGAAACAGAATGTTTATTGGCGTCACTTCTTGTACCCATCTGAAACGGCTATAGTCGGATGGAAATCATCTTTAGTCGCTCAAGGTCACGTCCCCACCTTTTTTGCCAGGGTACGCGTGACGCTTCAGTCTGTCGTACAGATCGTCTTTCGTGCCATAAATACTGGCGTTCGAACGAGCGAGACTGTTCATTTTACCATTGTGCAGACTCTCTGGAAAATATAAAAAAACACACCGGTTGTTAATCATCTCTCTCTAATAAATTTGGAATAGGGTAGACAGAGGTGAATCGTATCATTTTCTATGTGACATAGGAATAAACATACTTGAATATTAGCAACCAGTAATGAGAAAGAATCTTTAAATCTTTCTTACGCGGTGGAGAAACGAAAAGTGAGGAATATACTTTGTAATATAACAAGCATGAAGTGGATTCTTCTTTTGATTCGATTCGCCCTCTGCTCCGATTCTTCTTACTCCATCTAACATATCCCACCGAATTTCATTGCCTCACCTTTCATGTAAGTCTCGTTATAGAAGTTAGGCATTTCCCACCCGTCTTCTTCGTCGTCGTAATAATGAGCGTAGGTGCTATGATGGGACGGCGCGATGGACTCCGCGTACGGTGTTGGTGCACCGTAATAGAAGTTCACTTGCGAACCGTTCTGATCCGTTGCTGGTGTCAGCATCTTCTTCGGTTCCTTCTTGCGAGAAGCTCTGTGGACGAAGCGGAAAAATGAGAAACCGTTCCTACGGAGTGAAGCATCACTCGAAGAATCAAGCATACTGACCTGACGCAGATCATCCACACCAAGAGGACGACGAAGATGATCAGGATAACACCACCAGCGATGCCACCGGTGATATAGAAGAACTCGGACTTCTCCGTGCACCGTTTGCCAGTGAAGCTGCCGCTACACCTGCACGACGGCTGTCCACGCGAATCCTTCAGGCACACTCCCTCGTTATCGCAGTAGCCCATGCAGACGTCGGTGCACTCGGTACCGGTGCCATTGTAGCCCGGCTTGCACTCGCACTTGAAGTCACTGGTTTCCGGTATCAGCAGGCAATAGGCGTTCGCATCGCAGTGCATCTCTGCGTCACTGGTTTCGCAGGGATTGGTGCAGTCAGACTTGCTGGTCTATTGAGAAAGACAAGAAGTTTGGGAATAAGAGAGAAGAAATTGATCAAGTGAGATATCCTAGCAAGTCTTATAAGAATATTTACCGCCGCTGTTCCCTTGGTGCTAGTGTTCGGTGGACAAGGGATGCAGAATGTTTGCTGCGGCTCGGACTGGTACATGCCCTTCTTGCACTGCATACATTCGTTCAAAGTTCCGTTCAGGTAGGTGCCAGGATCGCAGACAGGAAGGGAGCACTCTTCTATCGACGCTGATCCCATGTTCGGTGTAGTTCTGCCAGTCGGACAAGCCTGGCAGGCAGCCTGGACACCTTGAGTACGGTAGCTACCGCGAGGACAAGGTTCGCACTTGCCCTCTACTGCTAACTGTTGTCCTGATCCGCATTCATCTCTGCACTCCTCGCGGGACACAGCTTCAGCTGTTCTGGTGGTCTTGCCTAGCCCGCACAGTAGACAAGAGAAGCTTCCCTCGTTGGGTTGGTAGAAACCGTGACCGCAGCTGCGACAGAGGCCAGCCACGTCGTCGTAGTACTTCCCAGCTGGGCAACGTTCCTTGCAGTCAGCTGCGCTTCGGGCACCTGGACCCACTGTTACGCTGGGGCGACCGGCGATCACAGGACAGGAGCTGCACTTCAGTTGGCCTGACTCGCTTTGATAGCTACCGACTGGACAGGATAGGCACTGCTTCGTCTCTTCGTCGTAGAAGGTTCCCACGGCGCAGGGTACTGGAAATAAAGATAGAAGAGTTGAGTATGAATGATGGAATACAAGGGGATGTCTCTCTTGGATGTAGACATTTCAACATGGCTCACCGCAATCTGGCGCCATCACCACTTGCCCAACCGGACAGTCATAATCGGACTCTAATGTCAGGGATGCTGGGTCGGGCACTGTGTTCGGCAAAATGTCGTGCACGTCGAATTGGTCCTCTTCCAGGATCAGTCTTTCCAATAGCGTTTGGACTGTCGCTCTCTCGTTCGAGTTAGCGTTCAGAATCGGGTCGCTATAAAGAATGAAACACTGTTAGCGGATCGGGTAATCGCTGGGTCATCTATTGCAGCGATAGGTAAAGAAGAGTATGCGCAAATATGTACAGCCGTTATCTTTAGGCGAAGGCAACCAGGCAGCCTTTCCATCGGATCCTCAGTAAGACCTTATCGACACCTATTAATTACGTAACCTATGTAACGCTTAAGATTCAATCCTGGAATTCTAATATATGTATAACAGGTCTAGTACCGAACGTCGTTGTATAATAGTTCGACGGTTTGTTACAATCGACAACCCGAGCTGTCCGGTAGCAAAGAAGTTAGAGGATGTTACGACGAACAGATGTACGGGAACGTGTCTCGAAATGTTAAACGAACAACTCGGTTTCCAGTCAGGCGTTATACAGTTCGCGGTTACATTGTTATTTTCCTATTCATTCGCTGGTACCATGTTTAGTACCCGCATGATCGCGTCCCATTTACACTAGTCGGTCATGTGTGAACAGTTAGTAACAACGTGCATACCAGTCAGTTAGGATCGGCTTATCAGTTTGTCAGGTAATCGTACATTAATTGTAGCCAGGCTCCTTTCATCTTGTCATCGATGAAGTGATAACTTATTATAATCGACATTGGTCAACGTCGTTCTACTACACTCACGCGGAGAAAACTTTTTGTTACCCGTCAGAATTTCTTGTTAGTTCAGACTCATAGACGAGATCGTGTCCGAATCGTTTGCGAGAAGGATGTTTAATTTTTTAGTGATTTTTTATATCGAACAAGTACAGGTAGTAAGACATACAGATGTCACGTGAATTATAGAGAAATTTACATCGTGCCAGTCACACCCCCCAACATTGACAGAGCAACAAAGTTGATTTTTCTCCGTGTGCGTCTCATGCATCTAAAAATGGTATGTTCATGATCACAAGTGGATTTATAAATGTGAGAGATGATGTCGGATAACACCGAGCCCCGTATGACGAGAACACATTTACAATGATGCGGTTTGCACGTGGCGTAAATCGAGCTGTCCTTACTTTATCGCTGGGAACGAGATCTCCACCTCGTAGGTATCACTGCCTTGCCGCGCTTGTCTCGTTCTACGATGAACATAAGTAACAAATTGCTCAGTAGCTAATTCACTCTGATGTATGTTGATCGAAGCTTGACCGCAGCTAATACTAAATAGCTCGGCGATTCGCCGTTGAAACTCAGGAAATTTATGCGATTGGGAGATACAGTGAAGTGTAGAGAATCGAGGGAAGTAGGATACTTACGATTCCGCTGGGACTACTGCCGAAATGATGTACGTGCCGCCATCTTCTTCGTTCGTTTCGCGGGTCGTGCGTGTACGGTGGTCGCATTGCACGTCGATGTTCAAGTCCTTGCATTCGCGTGTTCCTATTGGAAAATATGAAACGTGAAGCACTCCTATCAAGATTAACATCAGATTGAACAGTGAAAGTGTAACTTGCCTTCGAAGGAGTACGAGCAGAAGTTCCAGTCCCTGTTTAAGGAGTTCACAGCGTCTCTAACCTTTTTCTTGAGCACACCTTGGCCGGCTTCGTTGCAGAGCACCGACGTCGGGAAGTTCATTTTGATTCTGAAGACACGTTGAGCTGGTGTGGCGCCTGAAACATCAAGGAAAATTTGATAAATGAAGTTACCGAAGAAGTTACAACCTGAGAAGATTTAGGAAGTAGATTATAGTATTACTTGTGCAAGCAGGATAGATCAGTGGAAGAGATGGGTCGTTGGTAGGCCTCCAGAAGCCTTCTGCTCCACAGGTGTAGAACTTGGGTACTTCTTGAGAGAACCTGAGGCCAGGGTTGCAGAAGATTTCGCAAACTTTGAATTGTCCGCCTGAGCCCCAGTCTTTGCATTGTTGGGTACCTCCAATTGGATCAGCCAATTCAGGACAGAAGTCAGCTGGAAAGTGAACAGATAATTAGGAATTTGCAGCTACTCGAGGAAAATTGAAGAAAAAGTGACAGAACTCACATAACACGTAAACCTTGAAGTTACAACTGGCAGAGTTGCCAGCTTGATCATAAGCAACATAACTGATGTCATAAGTTCCCCACATCAGTGTCTGTCCAGATTTGTGTCCATTCTTCTCTTGAATCTTTACTATTCCAACATTGTCAATAAATCTTGGTTCATCCCAAGTGACAATGGATGAACCATTCTTGGCAATCACCCATAGATCACCAGGACAGTGGTCAACTTTAGGTGGAATCTTGTCGGATTCCAGCTGTTGGCATTTGCTGCCACCATATCCGGGTGGACAGACTCTCTGACCACAGTGAGATGGTACTACTCTCTCAACACCACCGACTGTCTCATCATATCCAGCCCAAGTCAGTACCAGACCTTGGTACAGAACAGGTTCAGTGCGACAGTCTCTAACTTGTTTCTGTATTTCATTGGTCACGTGCAATGCTCTGCTCCAAATCTGAACTTTGGTCAGATGTCCTTGGAATCCAGATTCGGTGTAACCCTTTGCGTTTTCAGTTTGTGGCTTTCCTAGTACAGCCCAGGCACTAAAGAAGCATAGTTTGTGTTAACGTTGAAATGAATTTGAGCAAGATTGTTACATTATAAGTGAACTTACTAAGCTGGCAGAGATCTACCACTTCCATAGCCTTCAGTCTTGCTAGCGATAAGTCCTTCAGTGATCAAAACCAGTTCACCACTGTTCTCGCCATTCCAAACCACAGCAACATGATGCCATTGGCCATCATTGATGGTCGCGTATTCTCGGAATGGTAGATAAACATCTTGCAAGTCATGGAACAGAGATACTTGGACACCATTGCTGTGTGCTTGTATCATCAATCTACGGTTTGTTGGTACATGCGCTGAACTGCAACAAACATTTAGATATTAATGTCTTGTTATATTATTGAAGCATTATATTGAATGTGAATTTACCTAACGCCATAGAGGGTGAAGAAGATTCCAGCCTCATCCTTTTGAAGGTACTGTACCCACATAGCCACGGTCAAGCTTTTACTTCCACCAGTGAAGAATGGAATTACTTGGGCAGCACTGCTACGTGCTGGATCACTGAAGTACAAGTCGTAATCCACTTGGATTGCTGTAAAAAAGTTGCCAATTTTCAATTTAGCGATAGTACTTTAGCGACGATGATTTAGCGATAGCGATAAACACTTACATTTTCTACAATCATCTCCAGTTAAGTTAAACGGACATTGACAGAAGAATTTGCCAGTAAGATCAATGCACGTTGCTGACGGAGGACACGAGTTCTCCTTACAGTCGATTATGTCATCCTCACACGTTTTACCTAAAAGATAATGACAAATGTATTTATCCTTATTCCACACAAGTCTGAAAAATTTGTTACACAAAAATTACCTGTGTATCCTGCTGGACAAATGCAAGTGAATCCAGGCCCATCGTCGATACACGTGGCGCCATTTTTGCAAGCACCGGCTTGGCAGGCGTCATACTCGTACTGACATCCGATTCCAGTGTAGTCATCGGGACACGTGCAATTAAGGCCAGATCCAAAGTCTTGACAACGTCCGTTATGCATGCACGGATTTCCAATGCAACGTTCTGGAGCGGTTTCGCATTGTTTCCCATCAGTTCCCGATGGACATCTACGAACCCAGAGTGTCATAAATAAAACATGACCTAACATACTTGCCACCTGATGAATCAGAGGAACCTAAGGACACTTACACGCAGAAGTAATCAACGAACAAGTCGACACACGCCGCGTCATTCTGGCAAGGGTGATTCTGACACATTCCCACATCGATCTCGCAGTGAACGCCGGTCCACCCTTCTGGACACATGCACTTGAACCCGCCAACTTCATCTCTGCACGTAGCGCCGTTCAGACACGGGCCAGATACGCAGTCGTCGATGTTAATTTCGCAAGCAGCGCCTGTATAACCTTCACGGCAGTGACAAACAAAGGTGTTGTCGAGATCGACGCAGCGATCCGTTCCCACTGGACTGCAAGGATCGCTGAGACACTCGTCCAGCTCTGCCTCGCACTGGAGGCCAACGAAACCTGGCCTACACTTGCACACAAACCCTTCCAATTGATCTAGACAAGTGCCTCCGTTCTGACAGGGGTCCGAAGAACAATCGTCGATCGTGTGTTGACACTGCTTGCCAGTGTACCCTGGCTCGCAGGTGCAGGTGTACCCATCTATTTGATCGATGCACTGGCCGTTGTTCCGACAAGGTTTGTTGCCGCACTCGTTGATGTTGGTTTCACAAGCTGAGCCAGTCCAGCCAGGATGACAAATACACTCGTGGCTGAACAAGTTGTCCACGCAGATACCGTTCAGACAAGGATTGCCCGAGCATAGGTCAATCTTCTCGTGACACCGTTTGCCAGTAAATCCTGGAGGACAGTCGCAGCTGAAGTCAGCCACTAAGTCGGTACAGTTAGCTCCCAGCAGGCAAGGCTTCTCTGCGCAGTCGTCGGTGTTGATCTCGCAGCTCTGGCCTTCCCAGCCTGGCAAGCAGTCGCATTTATAGCGACCCTGCTGCAGGGCTACGCAGGTGGCGCCGTTGTTGCATGGATTTCCGCTTGCGGTACATGGGTTTATCTGTAACACAAGTCAAGATTAGAAAGGAGCGAATAAGACACTAAGCAAACATAACTTAATTAAACTCACCGTGATATCGCAGTCGACTCCGGTGTACCCAGACCTACACAGACACGTGTAGTTACTGAACCCAGGCTCGTCTTTGCACATCGCCCTTTCAGGACAGGTGTCATTACTACAATCCGACTTCTCCTCCTGGCAGTTGATTCCAGAGTACCCATTCGCGCATTGGCACCTGTACCCCTGCGGCAGGTCTATACAAGTCGCGCCATTGTAGCACGGTTGAGATGCGCATTCGTCGATGTCGATTTCGCACCGTCTTCCGGAGAATCCAGCCGGACACAAGCACTGAACACCGTGACCCATGGGCACGCATAGGCCGCCATGCTGGCAAACGCTGTCAGTGCACTGTACAGGCTTGCATTCCTCGCGACCAACTGCACCTGGACCATCCGTGTACATGTTCGTTGGACACTCGACGCATGTGGTTGCTCCGTGTTGGGGCTGGAAGAAGTCCTTGGGACACTGAGCGCAAGGTGCTAGCCCAGTGTCCGAATACATGCCAGGCGAGCACTTGGCTCTGCATCGGTCGCGACCTGGCGCAGCTGGTTGGTACGTGAACGTTCCGGCTGGACAGGTCTGGCAGTCCTTGTAGCCACCGACCGGTGGTTCCCCTGTGTAGCTGTTCCTAGGACATTCCAAGCAAGGCACCAGGCCAGTGGGCGAGTACGTCCCGTATCCGCAAACTGGCACGCAATCGTCTATGCTCTTGGAACCTTCTTCTTCCGTGTACGTGCCGAATGGACAGCGCAGACAGGATCCTTGGCGGTCGCTATTCTGATAGAAGCCTTTCGGACAGGATGTACATTGTTTCTGCTTTTCTCCGGCGAACGTGCCAGCGGGACAGTGTACTGAAATTTAGCGTGGTTTATTTAGTATGAAAGTATAGACATTGGAACGAGGTTAGGTTCCGAAGAGGATGTAATTCACTTACAACATCGCGGCACGTCGTTGGTGTCCATGTTCAGAACCTCTCCGATGCTACACGTGAAGCCTCTAGTGATAGACGACTTCAAGGCTCGCAGCGGAGGACACTGGTTGCCGATAGAGGAGACGTTTAACAGTGGCTCGATGACTGCGCTGGTGGAAGGCACGGAGAGATCGAAGATTAGATTCAACGTGGACCCGCAGAGGTCGTACAGTTGAGGCTGACGTATGGCAGGAACGATAACAAGAATGAAGTCCATCTGAAATTCAGGAATGAATTGTTAATGAAGTCCACAGCAACGATGTTCTAGTCTTACCCTGGAATGCTTACCTTCAAGACGTTCTCCTCTAGCAGGTAAGGTACGGACCTTACAAACGACACGTTCATGTTTACGTTAACAGCGGAACAGCGTTGAGTCAGAATGTTGTTCAGGTTTATATAATATTGGGACATTAGGTCCTGGTATTGTGGAAGACAAGACCTCGAGACTGCGCCATTGGCGCGGTAAGTTACTGCCGCTACCACGTGATAGTTGGCTTGTTGAGTGTCTATAAAGGACATGATTTGTATTAGTGGATACAGTGAAAAAATTTTCATTTGTAATCGTAATGTGATGGGCTAAGTTTCAAGGATAAAGAGGCTTACTCTCAGAGACACAATCAGGAACAACTGAAGTGGGGGACCAGTGTTTATTAACGTCACAAGTGAAAGTCTTCACCGGAGCACCGTCGGTGAACCTGTACCCATTCTTGCAAGTTGCTATGCATTGCAAACCCTTGTCGCCAGGTACACATTTCAATCCTCCATGAGCCGGCGGCTTCAGTTCCCAGTCCACGCAAGGTGTTGCTTGCACTGACACTTGGAAGTGACAGGACGCTCGGTTGCCGCTAGAGTCAGTGGCGTAAACAGTTACATTCTCGAAGCTACCGATTGGTATCACTGCTCTCTCCGGGACGAACGTGATCTTCACTGGACCAGAGGCATCGGTGGCGTTCACACGTCTTCGAGTTTCATTGAAGTTAACCACGTAACTGTCTTGCTTGTCGGCTAATTCGATCACGTAACTCTGTGGGCAGCTAAGCTTGGGTGGCGTCAGATCTACAAACAGTTACATTATTATGAATAAGGGATAACGAGATAATGTAGGGATACTTCGCGAAGAAAATGGTTAAAGTCTCTACGAACCAGGAACAGTGATGTTGATCTCGCAAATGGCGACATTTCCATCATAATCGAATGCCACGTATTTAACCACGGAGTCCTCGAACACTCTCAAAGGTGTCCTGAAACTGTGAGGTTTAACTTCAAGACGGGCGATGCTTCCGCTGTTGTCGATGGCCGTGGGTTCAGTGAAGTTCACAGGCAGCAATCCACCGTCAGCTCCCTTCTGCACTACTATAGGTTGCTGAGGACAATTCTGGAACACTGGCGGCTCGTTATCCACGCAAGGAGAGAAACCGTAATCGTAACCCAATAATGGTTCTGCCACGGGCTCTTCGCAGCCCATCAGCTCAAACTTCAAGCAAGCGTTGTCCATGTAGCTGACAATCCCCAAGATGACGAAACGAGCTTGAACGTACTTAGGCAGAGTGATCATCGCCAGTTCGCCGTAGTTTCCAGGATCTCTCATGGTTAAATTGAAATTCGGGAAGTAGACCACGTAGTTCTCGATTTCAGCCTGCTTGTAGAAGAACCTGATCTCCGTGGGTCTTCCGACGATGTCATTCGTGACCACGCCTTTCACCAGAATCGCTTTTACTCGATAAACCTGGCCTAGATCGACGCTGACGTAAGTGAACGCCTCTTGCTTGCCGCACCAACCGGTCACGGAGTTCAAGCGAACGTTCTTCGCTTCGTAGTTCGGCCTTTCGGAAGTTGCATTGATGGCGGAGTCCGGGATGCGACCGGAAGCTAAGCCTAGAGGCTTCACCACCTTGCACTCCGGCTCTCTGACGCAAACAATGGGTCTGGGATTGATGAGGATGTACCCTGGCCTGCTGCAGCCAAACTGAACTTCGGATCCCTGCTCGTAGCTTCTGGCCACTTGGTAGCCATCGCTCGGTCTGCCAGGATCCTCGCAAACTGGACCTTCGCATCTCAAATTACCAAAGTCCCAGATGCCGTTAGCTTGGCACCTGACGACGTTATCGTGGCGGTTGGTCTGTCCGGCGAGCTTGAACGTGTCCTGGCAACCGAAGAAGAAAGAGGACTGGTACTTGGTGTCCAGATATTGGCCGTATTCAGCTCCAGGAGTAGGCAAAGGCTTTCCACAGTCAGCTCTAGGACAGGCTGGCTGAGATCCCGAGAGCCAATAATCTGGTAAACCGGGTTTGGGATCGTAGACGCACTGCCGGAAACCGGACGTGGCTGTGTTTCGAAGGTATCTGCCATTACTGCCGCATTTCAGGGTGACGTTCTGCTTGAAAGGCACCAACACGCTTGCCTCGTCGCTGCGGACTACCGATAGTCCCTCGTTTTTGTCGTCAGGCAGAGATACGCACTTGGCATCTGCAAGATGTGTCGTTTTTTAATATCCTCTTATTGAACTGTTAGTTATAAAGCAGTAATTGTATACTCACATTGACACTCTGGTGTGGTGCCATTCCAAACTCCGCTGGATGTGCAGATGACGGCTGAGGAACCGGACAACACGTAACCGAAGTTACATTGGAACTTAACGAGGTCTCCGAAGTGATGCTGTTGCTGTAAAAAGAGCGGAAATAAGAATCACGGTGTAGCTAGAATTCCACATTCGCGTGAATTCCACGAGATACACACTTTAGTCGACAAGATCTTGCCATTCTCCGGCGCAGACAGAGCAGGACACATAACAGGCACGCAGGTCTTGTTCTTCTGATACAGATCCCCGTCCCTTTCACCGGTCTCGTACTTTTCAATGTGAAATCCGGCTGTGCCGTTTCCTTTGTACAACTCGTAGCCAGTGTTACACATGCAGGCGTAGCTGCCAGGGTTGTTGATGCATTTCTGATGGCAGCCGCCGTTGTTCACCGCGCATTCGTTCATGTCGGTGCACTCCAGGCGAGTGCAGCCCATGATTTCGAGTTTCATGCACGGCGCCCCGATGTAATCCTGTATTCTGAACCTCACGTACCGAGCCTCGATAGGCACTGGCAAGTTTAGGACAGAAAGGGTAGGTTCCAAGATCCTGAATTCCACCGGTGTGCCGTCGGGATTCGTGTAGTCCTTGAAGACATCCGTCAGGTCGTCCGTGTACTGAATTCGAACTGCCGAGGTATAAGCTATGTTGCCGTCTACCCTGGCCACGACTTGAGTTCGGAATCCGCGAATGATTGTTGGAGCTTTCATGTCGATCATCACCCAGTTGGTGCCTGGCTCGATGTTGTTGCCGCACCAGCCGTCGCCATTGTTCAGACGTATTCCCTTTACATCGAATATCGCCATTAGTTACACCACTAATCATATACTCAAGATTCTATTTTAACTGGTCTGAACATAAGAAGACATCTTGCCGAAGATGCAAGTGTTCTATAACTAGAACACTCGATACACTCACCGTCTTAGTATACCCATTCTCAGAACTCGAAACAGTAATCGATTCATCAGGAATGCCGCCATTGATGAGTCCGAGATCCCCAATAGGTCTGCACTCCATAGTCGGAGCAAAGCCTGGTTTGCATTTGCAGGTGAACGCACCGGGATTGTTTATGCATTCGGTGGAGGCCAAGTCGCACTGGCTGGATGCGCATTCGTTTATATCTGAACAACAGAATGCACAAATAAAGAAGCTGCCGACTCAGGATTACGAAGCACCGGACCTTACCTTCGCAAGTGGGAACGTTGTCGAAGTGCTGATTTGGCCCACACTGTATGATGTTGGAGCCAGATAGTTTGTAGCCTCTGTTGCATTGAACCCTGGCTTCGTCGCCATAAAAGTAGTCCCTACTTGTGTCGACCACGAAACCGTTCTTGATCGTGGGTAGCAACGGGCACTTAGCTCCTACACAGACCATTGTCAATTGCAACTGGGAGCCGCGGATTCAGGTTTCGCAAGCTGTTGCGAATAAATGGAGAGACACTTACGGGAACACGTTGGCACCTCGTCGGACCAGGTTCCATTGCTCATGCAGAGAATCACGGGATGCCCGCTTCTGACGTAGCCCGGCTCGCATTCGAATCTGACTATCGTCCCGTAGCTGCGACCGCCTCCGTTGAGGATAGTGATGTTTGAATGGGGAGCTTCCGGGAGTGGCGAACACTGAGAAGCTGTACGAATGATTGAATTAAATGTTAATTATTATAGAGTTGGAATCTGCGTAATCGAAATGCTTTAATGCTAACGGAATTTTACAGACTTCTATGCACTAGAACTGCGTTTACAAATACGAATGCTTTAACACTTGGTGGATTTGTTTCACAATTACAACAGCTTCCTCGAAAGTTTGAATAACTGTAAAGTTAAATTAGTTACTATTAGTTATTGTAACAGCTTACCCAAGCAAGAAGGTTTCTTCTCCCATCTTCCATCAGCCATGCACGAAATCTTCTCAGTAGGCCTACCAGAAGGAAACGCAAATCCTGCGTAGCACTGATAAGTAGCTAGGCCTTTGTAAGTGACGTTAGACGATCCAATGGAGAACCCATTGTCAATCTGAGGCACGGGGCCGCAGTAGACTTCTTGGCAGTTGGGAATATAAGTGACAGACCAGTTTCCACCTGGCAAACACTCGGTGGTGATTTTGAGCTTGCCAGTCGCGAATTCTTGACCCAAGGGACAAGAGAATGTAACTGGTGTGCCAAAGGCAGTGTCTCTGCTAGAGGCGAGAGCACCCTCGCCAGATTGAAGGTACGGGCAGTCTGAGAAGATCAACATATATCATGAATCTTTGCTTCTTAATCATCTGTAATCGTTGTAACATTGCTTAATCACCTGCTGAGAACTCCGCTTGCCATCCAGGACTACTATGCAATGCGTCAGAAGTGAACCGTACCAACATTTCTCCGCTTTCGGCAGTGAGAGTGATTTTTGGTCGAGTATTTGATGTGAATCCGTTTCCGGGATGCAGTCTAAGTCCGTTAGTGTTTGGACCATCGTAGATCTATCGAACAAATGGAAAATCAAGATTAAGCAACTTAGGGTATCAGCTACAATCAAAATGCTGCTCCTGAAGTAGCTACATATTGACTCCCAATTTCAAACATCCATCGTAGATCTATCAAACAAATGGAAAATCAAGATGGAGCAACTTAGGGTATCAGCTACAATCAAAATGCTGCTCCTGAAGTAGCTACATATTGACTCCTAATATCAAACATCCACACTGCCAAGTGCTTCACTGTTAGAAAACCGAGTTACCTGTACAAAATCAGTCTTATGAACGTTAAAGCTAACGAATTTCAGCGACAGAGGTCCTCCCTGCGGGTTCTTGACCCTGTACAAGCACTCCTGGTTGTTGGGGTACTCGTTCAGCCCGAAAGACGGCGACTGAACGGTCCCGTTCCTGGCGATGATCGTCGCCTTGCATCCTTGAGTGTACCGAATGCTGAACCCGCGCCTCGAGTCGCCGAGGCTCGTCTTGAAGTACAGGTACAGGCTGTTACCGGTGGACATTATCACCGTCGGATTATCCTCCGATTTGCCGGTGAGACGGGCGATCGGCCTGCTCATCGGTGAGTCACCGTCGCGAATAAGGATGTAGTCACGATTCATCTCGAGATCCAAGTCTTCAATCTGAAGGGAACAGGAATAAATAAACCCCGAACAGGCTAATTTGATATTCGAGGCTTCGTATGGACGTATGCAGAAATACCTCCAGAGACATGATACGACCCGGCTGAGCCTGCAGGATGTATAGGCATTCCAAACCTCCGGGATAATTCTGCGGATATCCCGGTGAAGTCAGCACCTGACCTTGGGGCGTCGCGCGAAGGATACCGCCGCAGGTTTGCGGTTCGGTCTTCCAAGAAGCACGGAAACCTTTCCTCTCCACGGAAGAGTCCGTGCTGAATTTAATGATCATGAAGTTCGAGGCGGACACGAACAGCTTGTTGCTCAGCTCCTGTTTGCCGGAGAGCGTTGCCAGGTTCACGGACTTCTCCTCGGTCCTGCCGCCGACCAGGATCTGGACTATGTCGAAGCTCTTCTCCGTTTCGAACTCTTGGAACTGGAGTGGTAGGTTTCATGAGAAACTGCTATGTTATTGTCTATTTTAGCGCTAGAACTACCGATCAAAACTGACTTTTACAAATTTCTTTAGGAAAATCATACCCGTGCGTTTATTGAGATTTCAATTGAGTTGCATTTCAGTTTTGCTATTGAATTAGTTCCGTTAATAATTTTTCGGAAGTATCTCTACCTTTTCAGTAATGATAAAAGAGGAAATCAGAAATATTCTCACTCATCTGGTAGTTCTAGTATTAAAGGATATTGAAGATGTTTGAGATATTAATTGATTGATATTCATTCAATCATAGATTTCTAGGGATTCATTTAGTGTTGGGATCAAGTAATAGTTTGATTCCTTTGTTAAAGGCTTGCCAATGGTCTGAATAAGATAAAAATATCGATGCACTATATTAAAACTGTTACATCGACTTTTATATTAGTTCGATACTAGCCCGCAGGTTTCAGTAATGTCACACAAAATTGATAATGCTGCTCCTCCATATTTCAATAACCTTCGAGATACTAGAAACTAGCATACTTTGACACCCACTGACAATGTTCCTAGTCACCTACTTCGATAAGTTGACTACACTTAATTACATTCTGCTCGTCGCTGCCAGATATGCCTTATGCGGGCGTTGTATCTGCTTTTAAACACAGTTAACCTTTCAGACTTAATCCTTTGCACTCGAGAAGCGACTCGCCAGGTGATTTGATATAGAAAAATTATAAACTTTGGAATTTATCATTAACCTTTGTATACTGCATCAATACGTGAAATATTGAAGGAAAATAGCTTCGTTAACTAATTTATGTATGATTTCTTGTTAAGTTCATTTTACAGAATCTTGTCTACATCTAATTAGAAAGTATAGAATATTACAAGTGAAAAACTTTCGAGTACAAAGGGTTAATACAATCCTACTAAAAACAAAATACAGTCCTACTAAAAACAAAATAACGATAATGTTTTTAGAAAAGACAAATCGTCCACAATGCTTGACGATGAAAAAAGAGAAAATACATAAAATATGAAAAATTACAGAAAATTACTTACAAAATTATTAAGGAAAAATACTTTCTGGGCTCCCTATAGGACCCCACTCAGCATTTCAAGGGTTAAAACGATAACAGGATAGTTGGAAGCAGTTTCTATGTTCAGAATGGAAATGTTTCATGCAATGCATTGTTTCACGTGTGTTCTCGCGTAAGCGAAACTCACGGATACGGTAATCCGAGGTGACAAGCGTTTAGCGTATTGTACATGGCGAGCAGAATTACAGGATGTTAATCCGAGGTGTGGATAGGGCTCATTAATTCGTGTAATGCGTTGTACCTGCAGAAGGATGTTGTGACCTTGGGGCCCCTCCAAGGTCCACTTGCAGTTGCTGAGGGGTGCATACTTGTGCGGATAATTAGGACTCTCGACGACGTCCCCGCTGCTCGCCATGTAGAACTGACAGTTAACCGGACAGTCTATTTCGTCCGAGAAATCGCCGCAGTCGTCCTGTTTGTCGCACCTGAACGCGGCGTTCACGCATTTGCCGTTCGAACAGTGGAACGAGCCTGCGTCATTTACAAATTTACAATTCACGTGAGGAAATTCGAGTGAACTGAATTAAATCTTGAATTGTAGTATTTCTCTCGAACAAAAAGTAGTTTAGTAATATCAATAGTAATTAATATTAGATTAAATTACACTAGTAATACTTTTCTCGAAGATAATTCAGTAATGTAATCTTGTTTTCATAATTTACTTTAAGTATTCGAGTGCCGGTCGAAAATATTAATTCAAAAGATTCTAATAGTGCGAACTGTTTTATTATTTCCAAGGTAGTAATAACAGAAGTGAAAATAAATCATTAGAAGGAAGATAAATAAATTTCATTTGATTCTACGAGCCGATATGCACTTTTTTGGCACTAATCAAATGACACGCGAGTATAAATGTTTTCTAGAGTTAATAATAGATTAATCGAATTCCAATGAATTTCCCAGATTATGTCAAAGTTAATGAAAATTCTATTAAATCGAAAGCAGAAAGTTTGATGTTCGATTTGCATGAACGTTGATTGAAAATAGTACTTTGTAGAGTGTTTGGCGTATATACAGGGGGTTGAAGTTGCGACATGCGCGAAACAATTTACCTGCGGGGCAGGCGTTGGCGCGGCACATGAACGGAAGCAGTGATTCACACGTGGTCAGCTCCCACGTCTGCCGGTCGTCCGTCAAGGCGACGTCCACGCATTCACCTGATTGAGGATTCGGTTGCTTCGACGCCCAGAAACCTGAATACCGAAACTGTTACGCGCGCCTGTCCGGGTTTATTCAACCCCTTCATCCGACGAATCCAGCGCGTGTCTATTCGTTTCATAATGACGAGCTGGTTTCGTCAGGAAATATTTAATTACATATAGAAAGAATCGACAAAACTCTCGAGAATAATGAAGTGATCTGCTGTAAATGAAATATCAATTATCCCTCCACTTGATGTGACTAGATATTCAATTATTATTCAAATAGATTAACCCTTCAGTCGCCACAGAATTTTGCGTCAACGTGTATTTCTACGGAAGCGTATTGAAACCATGAGAACACTGAGTTGAACTAAATTATTAAACCAAATTTTTAAAGTACATTCTGGCGTCAACAATTGGGTTACTAGATCATCGAGAAGATTCTTGATAAGATTGTTAACCCTTTGCACTCGAGAATATTTTTCTCGACAAATATTCATTATTCTCTGATGAAATATCAATGATATTTTTTGCAACTAACACAAAGAAATACCTTGCATAAATTAAGTGACAGAACCATTTCATTTTGATGTTGCATGCGTCGATACATTATATAAAATTTAATATTGTCAAATCAAATGGCGACTGAAAGGCGCCTCTCAAGTGCAAAGGGTTAAAAAGATACTTAAATAATCGAAGTAACAAAATTTTGTGAAATATTGGAGTGTCACGATGATGAAGCAATTTGACCGCAAGTTTGACTTTCGACAGTTGCATCGCGGTTACAGCAAAAATCGGATGGACCTTGTTCAGCTAATTGAAATTAATTGATGCGTTTTGAATCCGTAAAAAGCCAGAGCGAGCGGGACGTTATGCAAACGCACGTGCCGCGCTCCAGACGAGTAAATTGCAACTCGTGTCGGCGCGGACGTAAAAGCGACGGTATCTGCGCATTGTTGTGGGAAAAGTGTGCCTTCGTGCCGTATACACCGTGCAGTTCCGCGTTTCCGTGACCCCGATGAAAACCGGCCGGTGCACACACGTGCACGAACGAGTTTCATCGTAGAAAAAGGTGTCCATTAATCTACTATCCGAACAATTTCTAATTGCTAATTAGACTTCTGTGGACTCTCCGAACCCTTAAAAAGCTACGCAACACTCTAAATTCAATGAAAATCTACCCCGTATAATTTATATATCTATAATCCACAGACAAATGAACCGAGTTCTAGTTGAACTTCGAAGTGAAATGAATGAAAACTAAATGTTTGAATCTCCAATTATTATTCTGTAATCTATTCCATTCCTAATATTCAAGCAGTTATTAATGCAATTACTTCACAGAGTTTTATATCGATATCTACAGACAAAAAGATGGATTAATGTGAATTTCAAAGGATCCAAGCTAAATCTGCCTAATGTATATCAATTAAAATAATCTGAAGTAGCTGAATTCGATGAAATTCACAAGACAACAGTGTCAATTTGCTTCACCAAGTTGAATATCGGACACGAATAAAACGGTTTGATGGCGGATCATGAATCTTCCTGGTCAGCGAGTGGTACGAAACATGATTCTACAAACCGGCGTATTGGGAGACGAGCATTCCTGCCGCCGATTCGAGCGTGTTGGTCCGTAAATCGTCGAGGGAGGCCAGCCCCAGCCAGTAACGATCCAAATGCCGGCCGATCATGCTCGCGGACATGTTGTTCTCGCTGTACGACTCCACTACCATCAATTCGCTGCCGTACCTGCAATCGTACATCAATTCGTCGATCTCTTGCTCCGTTCTAGCGTGTAATAACGCGACTGAAAAAGTGCTCTCCCAGTGTCTCGTCGCTTTTATCCGCCACGAGGGAAGAGAGCGAACGAAGAAATACTCGTTCGATTCGTTTCGGATCGTCTGAATCGAATTTTGTAATTTTCTAAGAAGAAGCTCGCGAAATCGGTAAATTCGGAACACTGGTGAATTAATATTAAAATTTTAGCAAAATCTTTAGACTCAACTGTAACGAAAATTTGCTAATGTTATAGGTTTTGTGATTTTAAGTTATTTACTGTTTTCTATTTGATACAGTTTAATTAGGTGGTATTCTTAGGAGATTGGAGATGCTTTGTAGAATTTTTCTTAGGTTCATCATCGAAGAATGATAGGAAAGATCCGTAGAAGTGCAGGCAATTTGTAGATGCACTTGTCTATGTGAAAAATAGTGGAACAAACTTTATTGTTACGCAGCATGGTCGATTGAACCACTTACCTTCTGCATAGCTCTGCTGCTTTTTCCCAGGAGTGCCTGATGTTGAAGAATTTGTAACAGTGTATGCCCCTCAGTTCCCATCCTGCGAAAGACCATGCCAGTATGTTCAGTACAACGATGTCAGACATTTGGCAATAGACAAAGATATCGTAAAGCTCGTCAACGAATGATTAAATCAAAATCTATTAATCGCTATTAACAGAAATCTCAATATTTCTATGTTCAAAAAATATTAACCTCTCTTTATCGCTAAGAATTTCTCCTAATAGAATTCAGAAAATTCTAACTTCTTTTAACTATTAAATGTAATAATATAATTGTAGCAATTAATTCTCAGCTTTTCCAATAATTTAGTCTATTTACAAGTCGTGTCTCGAAATTATTGAAATATTTTCAAGAACTTTGCATCATCTTCGAGGCAAATAAGGTCAATCCTAAAATTACTAAATTAGTAATCGATTAAATGAATAGATACTGAATTCATTTCTCCAGCTAATGAATTTACGATCATTTGTTTCAGTTATCCACGAGATTGATTGTATCATCGCTACTGAGGCAATTATGAAAATTGCAATGGCTTCTGGGGTGCGTTCTCGATGATCTCCCCAGAGGGAACCAGTCACGTGGCATCGCAGACCAATTCGCGGCGGGCGAAGCCTCCGAGGTGGCAGGAAACGCGGTTAACCGGTGACCTGTGCAGACAGTGACGGACAGAACGACCTCGATCGTTTTTAGTGCGACGCACCGTGTGCGAGTCAAAGGTAGGTCGGTGGGTAAACGGGTAACATTGTAAAAGAGAATCCGCCAGCCGAGTGAAATGTCTTCGCGCGTGCTCGCTTTGTTGACCGTTCGAATTGACAAGCCGGGAACAGGTTCTCTCGCGCGCAAATAGAATTTTTGCATTCCGAACAGAGAACTTTCTGTGACCTGCCGTGAAGAATGTCCCGGCCACGTGCGGTTCGAAAGTGTTAGTTTAGACAGTCTTCGGTGACCTTTAGACATCAACTTTCGGACTGCGGAGTAACTCGGTGCAATTGGAAACTAGAGTTCATCTAACGAGATTGGAAGTTGTAATTGAATTCTGGAAAATTGGAAACTAATGTTTATCTAACGAGATTGGAAGCTACAGTTTAATTCCGAAAAATTGGAAACTAAAGTTTATCTAATGAGATTAGAAGTTATAGTTTGATTCCAAAAAATAGGAAATTAGAGTTTATCTAATGAGATCAGAAGTTATAGTTTGATTCCAAAAAATTGGATACTAGAGTTTATCTAACGAGATTGGAAGCTACAGTTTAATTCCGGAAATTTGGAAACTAGAGTTTATCTAACAAGATTGGAAGTTACAATCTAACTGAAAAATATTGGCAATTGGATTTCATGGAAGTAAATTAGCCGGGAGATTTCGTGAAATAAAATTGCAACTCAAATGCAAGAGAATTAAATGAGAAGCAAAAGTGTTTTGAAATAATGTGGTAGCTAAATTTCAGCCAATGAAGTTAGTGGCTAACGTTCAGCTCAACATTGCTGTATTTGAAAGGAAACCAGCTCAGAAGAGAAGTAAAACCTGTTGAAATAGTTGTGGATTAAAACGTAACTATTTTGGAAGTTAGAATTGTTAAACCTAAATTAGAGAATTATTTGGCAGATTTTCGAGACCCTACGAAAGAATGAGAGCACCAGCAGCATCCGTTTGATACGCGGATGTCTGGGAAACTGGTATTTCAGTCGGGCTACCGAGAAATCGATTGGTGTCATGAGAGATCCGTCGACTATCCTACTTGTTCCGCGACTCCTCGAGAGGATGACGCCTAGGAAATCAAAAGTGCCGTGTGTAACCGTGATTCTTTTTACGGAGCTCCGACTCTGTTGCCATTTTTGCGTTTAGTAGGTTTCAGTGAAACGTTCTGCTTCTAAAATAAGGTTGGCGTGTTATCAACATTCCAAATTGAATTCATTTTGAATCAATATTAATCTTCTATATTAAATGAAATACACGCTCGAAATAATTCAGTGTTTATAAACCTAGCATTGAAATATACGCGACAAATGATAAATGACGAAGCAAGGGTAATTATTCAGGTACTGTGTACACTGGAGGCGTTCAAAAAACGAATAACTGAATAACAATTTCGACGTTCTTTTATGTTTTCTTCTACGTGCATGTCGCACGCAGAATCAGATGAATTAATGCACGATTACTCAATGATTCCCCGATGCAATTTCAGTTGGCCTCACCGCGAAAGACCCGGTCGGCCTTCCTTTCTTTTAAAAGGTCAAACGGCCATGTTGGTACCACGCACGCTGTTCGTCTCGCGTTTATTAGCGTTTTCTTGTTCGAGCACCTGAGAACTCGGAGCATTCTATGCCGATATTAACCTGTACGATGTCTTTTAATCGTTTTGTCCGCGCCGCGGAAGCCATTACTCGCTTGAAATTCAAAAAATCTGAACGACAATCTTTAAAAGGCTTTATAATAGTCTCTTGTCCTTTCGTTTATTTACTCTGACAAGACTTTAAGAATTGCCATCGAAATAACTGGGAAAAAGTAATAAAATCTTTTACTGAATCCTGTATTTCGTTAAGTAGAGTCTACAGGTTGTTCCAAAATTCGAAGTCTAAATGTTAGAAGCTTATGTTGTTGTTTGTAGAAGAGTTTCTTCGGTTTCGAGGTGAATAGGACAGGTTCCCGCAGTTCGGTCAGCTGTTTCAGGAGCACCCTATATAAATAGCATTAAAATCCAACGCAAACAACCTGACAGGGCACAACGGACGATCTGTCGCGAGAATGTTCCGTATGCTCCACTTTTTGGAATCCCGTTTCAGCACAAAGTATGTACATATGTAAATGTATACAGTACCGTTTAAAAGTTTCAGTACAGGGAACGAAGAAAGCACAACCCAAGTCCACACCCTTTAAGCTACGCTTTGATAAACATCCACAGATAATAGTCATATAATTCCATTAAACTTTCATTCATGATTACTTTATACAAAGTAACATTTTTAACTACATTAAACTTCTCAAATGAAATCTCCCATAAACCATAGAAAACGTTCCAAACAATAAGTGATTCGATAACAATTCTCTATTCCCTATAACCTCGACGCGAAGAAAGCAAGGAAAAGAGAAAAACAAACTAAAGAAGCCGAAAAACAACTCATTATCAAGAAAAACGGAAGATTTCCTTAATTAATAAGCCAATAATTCCAACACATTCAAATTCAACTGAAAATCCCATTGAGTTCAATCATATTAGCCCCTTGCTCTATTTATTTCTTCTATAATCGATACGACTACTCTATCGTTAACAATTTCTTAAAAAGAACAAATTTCGATGTTTATTCTGTCTACCCCAAAGGTAACGATTCATAGAAAAGCAATGCTTAATTTACATTTAAACAAATAAATAACACTTAAATTTCTCAAATTCAGTTTAACATATTCGTCACGAGTCTGACACTAATTTCGATGTTTATTCTGTCTACCCCAAAGGTTAACGATTAATAGAAAAGCAATACTTAATTTACGTTTAAACAAATAAATAACACGTAGATTTCTCAAATTCAATTTAACATTTTCGTCACGAGTCTAACACGATATAAGTCAAGGGGTCAAAGACACTCGAAACCGTTACTCTACTAGCGACATCTGTCCGCCATTTTGTAGAGGCAGCGCGCGAGGTAATGGCGAACGCCGCGAAACTTTTGCGGGCCACTGTACCCGCACGCATATACAGGGTAGTTCGAGTTTCCCCGACGAAGGTGGATAACCGTGACGCGAATTTGCGAGGTGTATTTTTAGGATGCGTTCCTGTACGACTGCGGTGCAGGGGGAAGAGGAGGATTCACGGTTTAGGAATGCCGTCTCGTTTCTTGGCCTTCCTCGCCTCTCCCTCTCGCATGCGTCCAACCTACCTGCGTGATCTCTTGGCATCGGTATGCCATTATTGTGCAGCAGGTCGAGAATTTCGGGCCGGATGCACTAGCGCGGCCGGTCCGCGGCCATTTTCCACGATTCCGAGGGGTTTCGACCGTTCGGCGAACAGGACTAGCGGACAAGGCTTTAGATCCTGACAGACATAAATATACAGGATCCTTGCTCACTAATTGACACCAGGAACAAATGACTTTAACACTCTGAAGTTGCGTTCCGATGGCGCATGTGGAGATGGGTACAACACCTGCTGCGACTCGAAAAAATGGTTTTTGAGCACTTGAGTTATGGTATGCGAGTATCTTAGATTTATACTTGTCTTTGTTTCATTATGTTCCACGTTTGTGATCCTATGAATGTCCAGTTTTATAATTTTGGGCCATTTTAACTCGTCGCACTCGAGATTCGACAAAAACGTCATTTGTTTTGATACAGGAAAAGATTTTAAGATTCAGTTCATAATTTTGTATTAGGTATCGACATATGAATCATAGAAATAAATCTCGCTCTTAATTTGTGTTTTTTATTAGTTTTTATTAGTTTCAAATAATATCAATATTTTAGTAAGAAATGGGCATTTATAGTAAAATCGTCGAGTGGAAAGGATTTTTCCAATTTTAAGTTGTGTTTTTATAATTCTGAAATATTTATATTTGTATTTTTCTAATTAGATAGGTTTCTATATTGGAATTAAGAGAGGATCTAGAGATGTTAACTGAAGACATTTTTCGATAGTGGTCTGTAGGAAAGTTATGTAACTCTGAAAATCGTTACTACCAAATTCAGTTTCACCGTAGAGCTGAATCGACGACTATGAACGCCTATAAATAATTGCATCGTTAAGAATAAATAAATTACTCGCCATTCTTGATCTTCGAGTCCCCGATTCGTAATCTCGTTAGACTTGAGAAATAACCGGTACGTTGCGAAAATTTCTTGTCTTCGAAGGGTTATAGTGGCGCGGACTTTGCTTGTACGCGGTGATTTCAACGCACGCAGAGGAAACGCTTCAGGGACTTTAATGCGCGGTGAAGTATCGAAGTGGAGATTTCAACGCGTGTTGAAGTACCGTTCGGGGGAATTCAATGCGTGTTAATGTACCGCTTGAGATATTTTATTGTCTATACTGGGTGTACGAGAGTTTAGGCTGCGGGGAACACTTAGACACTCATCGCAGCTAATCGTTCACTCAACTATTAAATATTCTATCCTTAAGTATCTTCCTTATTAATTGCAGTCAATTGAACAGCTCTAGAAAGAAAATTCTTCGGAGGATTCTATTTCCTTTTTCTAAATTCCACGTCTTTGAACGAAAATGTTTAATACAAAGTTAAATAATTAGCATTGAATTATTTTCCGCTTCTAACGAAGTAACAATAAATTAGTTTTGTCAAGTTGACAAAGAAATTGTGCAAGGGGATAACGATACTGTTCCACAAAAAGGATGACCATCGTAAATTAAACGGATTTGGCATGTCATTATATTTTTTGCGCTCCGGCCGCTAAGACCTTCGCCGATTAAAAGCCAGACAAAACTCGCGGCTCTCAAGGTCCACGAGAAACTGGCTCAGAGTTGTTTTCGAAGCCGCGAGTTTTGTCAACCGACGAAAAGATATTGAATTGTTCGCCGCTGCATCGCGAAAATCAAACTCGACGCGTCTCGAATACAAAACACGGTTAAGAGTCAAGAAGCTTCTGATACGTGCAACCTACTTAATTGCGCTGGCCGTAACGAGGAAAAGTGGAGCAACGTTACGAATGGCCGAACTCTTATCCTCATTGTCCCTCGCGTGATTTATTCGCCGTACGTGTCTGGCTTCGGGACTTTTCTTCGACTTCCATCGCACGAGAATGTAAATATTTCATTTCTAATTGCAGCAGAAGTCACGAATCGTTAGATTAAGCGTGATTCATTCCGTGGCCGTCATCTTGGAAGAATATTAACATGCAGCCCAGTTGCAGCGAGGAATAATTTCATTAAAACGATTCATGAATATATGAAACAAATTGGTTTTCATTAAATGGAGAATGAAAATCACATCTTCGTGAACACTACTGATTCTAATGGAAAAACTCATTTTATAATGATTACCCTTAAATCTGTATCGTAACAATCTTTCTAGTTTCTTGTTTTAATCCTTCAATTTCATCTACAATCGAAAAAGCGAATCATTAATCTCGACTCTTCAATTTAGTTGAAAGAGGATTAAAGTTATGGTCTTCTATATTTTCTGTGGAAATTTCCGAAAGGACCATTCGTCGCGTCTGTTAAAAAATTGTTCACGGTCCGTCGAGTTTCGATGGACCGAATTTCCACGATGCGAAACGGGCTTAAGCGATTCCAAGGCATGACCTCGGTCCACATGTTCGCCAGTCTACCTGGCCAGGTATAGGACCACCAGTTGCGACCTTTCCAAGGCAGCCGAAGGTTCATCGGAGTTGTTACTACCTGGCCCGGTTTCTGAAGGAAACCAAAGAGATTTTCGACGTTACTCACCGTTCGGACAGGTGAAGACGTTCGTGGCGGGGACCTGCAACAAAGAGAAGAAGCATCGGATTGGAAACGGTTTACAACGTGATCGCTCAAAGAGCTTAAGCCACCTGTAGCCACTTTGCCTTAATTTATTGCAGTGACTCGGACTTGCCGCAGTAAATCTAGGAGTCCCCTTACCTCCGCGCGTCTGACGAAAGTTGGAATTATAATCAAGCTTATAGAGATTTCAACATTTTCTATGACCTGTTAAACCAATTTTAATTAAGATAATAATCCTCGTGTTCATCGCACCGTTGATTTATTGAACGAAAAACAGCTGTTACGAGAGCAATTTTTGAAATATCTAGTTTTCCAATTTCTAACTTAATATGGACAGTTTATAGCAGTCAGAAAATATTAAGAAAAATGAGTGGTATTATAACTTTCGTCGGCATTCCGAGATGTCGGTCCGTTTCTCGGTGAAACTGAATTGAACGTCTTGGAAAAAAGCGAGTTTAACCTAACAGGGATCCAGTATTAAGTGGAATATTTTCGTTGTGCCAATGGAATCGCGATATTCCCAAAACCCCTTAACACAGCGGCGCGCTGAAGTTTTAATTGGATTCCCGATGAAACCTCTAATATTCCATAACACCGGGGAAACTGGAATGGAAACGTTCACTTTCAGCTAGAAAATTTATCGACTGGATGTTCTGCGGCTCCCGCGAGCCCGGTCGTACGCGCTCGTAATTAGGAAAAATTATGCTCGGCTCGTTTCTAATATTAATTCGCACGCGAAACCGCGGATCTCGCATGCCGATTCCTGGCACAGATTTCACCGCAGGCGAGCGACGATTTCCACGCGGCCCGAATCATACCCGTGCAGGCAATTAGCCCGGGCGCAATTAACCGGTGACGAAACACGACGAAATACTGGCCGCTAATCTCGTGGGAAGCGGGATGAGTTGAAGCCGGAAGGATCGCGGGAAACCGTGCGCGTTATGGCGACTGTTACGTAAAACTGGGGTCGCTGCTGTGCTTGTTAGAGACTGTAGAACCCGAAGAAGAAAGTGCGCATCTTTGTTCCCGTTTTCCCATTTTTCTTCCTTTTTTTCGTCTTTGTTGCCATTTTCTCAGCTTTATTCTTTCTT